CTGCCCATGTCTCCCTGCACCTCCTCTCTGTCCCCATGAGAGCCCCCACGTGTGCCTGAGTCCCTCCCCAGGACGGAGCATCCAGGATGACAGCCCCTCCATGCTCCGGGGAGCAGTCTTGACACACACACTCTCTCTCCGTGCCGACGCTCATCTCCAGGGAACTGGCTTTCAAGGGCATCAGTGGATCCAGGTCCAGTAACCGGGTCTCAGGGCCTGGGAGCAGAAGGGATCCCCAGGCTGGACAACGCCCCTGACCAGCACAGCAAGACTCCTGGGATGGGAGTGTGCCCAGGAGTGGGCTCTCTGGGGATCAGGACTTTCCCCAGCGACCTCGGGAGAGGATGGAGCTGTTGGTCTGAGATAAAATCTCTGCTGCTCCCTACAAGAAGGACTCCCTGCAGGAAGGCTGCAGTGACAATGACAACAGCCTCCACTATGTGCCAGGCACAATACTGAACACGAAATCCAGGGGCTGCCTTAACCCCCTCAAGGCACAATCACCATTGTAATTTTAAAGCTTAGAAAAGTGAAACCCAGAGAGGTCGATACACCTGCCTAGATTCACACAGCTGGTGGAGCTGGGACAGAACCAGTCACGTCCCTAACCACCCAGGGGGCCACTGAGCTGGAAGCTGGAGAAGCAGGGGTCTGAGCTGAGGTGGGGGTCCAAATGGCATAACCTCCGTAATGTGGGGCTGTCCCCGTTCATCCCCACAGGGTCTCACTTAGATATAGAGATGCAGTGATCTTCCTCTGCACGGAACGGCCTCATGATGAGGCTTTGAGGAAGTGACCCCTTGCTCACAGTCACCTGTCAAGGACTCGAAACTGGTTCTAAGTCAACCTCCAAGCAAGGCTTATGCAGACTCCCGAGTCCTCATATCATTATAATTTCACACTCTGCACCATGTCACCCTGAGTTCCAGCAACGACCCTGCTGGGGTGCGGGGGGCTACTATGTCCATTTTCAGGCAGGGAAACTGAGGCCCAGAGAAGTTGTGCCTTCTTTTTTTTTTCTTTTTTTTCTTTTTTGGTACTGGGGCACTTAACCACCGAGTCACACCCCAGCCCTCTGCATTGTTTATTTTGAGACGGGGCCTGGGGCCTCCCTAAGTTCCTAAGGCTGGCCTTGAACCTGGGATCCTCCTGTCTCAGCCTCCTGAGTTGCTAGGGTTACAGGCCTGCGCCACTGAGCCAGGGAAGCTGTGACTTCGAGGAAGTGACCCCTTGCTCAGAGTCACCGGTCAAGGACTGGAACCTGGTTCTAAGTCAACCTCTAAGCAAGGCTTATGCAGACCGGCATCTCCAGCGCCCTTCCCCTTCCCCCTCGGAGGCCCTGAGGGTGCAGGTGGGGGACACACCATGGGGAGGAGGAGGAGGCCCAGGAGAGAGGGGGCCTGACATGCCGTGTAGGTGGCCTTTCAGCTCCTCTGGGCTCGTTGTGGAGTTAAAGGGGCCCCGAGTCTGGGAGCCATTCCCTGCAGAACCACTGGCTCTTCAAGGGGCTGAGCGGGGCTGGACAGTAGCCTGTCACCCTGCCCATCCGCGGCTGCCACAGGGCCTGTGCACTCTGCTGGGAGCTCTGCCAGCTCCTCGGGCCTCGGCTCCTATCTCTGCTGCCCGGAGCCGCCAAGTCCACCCACGAACTACCTAAGCCAGCGCCAGCCACGGAGCCCGGTGCCCAGCGCACCACGCCAGCCCCCCTCCCACAGCAGAGATCAGACTACTAGGGACGGGGGTGAGTCCTGCCCGTGTCCGACTCTCCCAGAGATAAGGGGCATGGGAAGAAGGGCTTCTGAGTTGCTATAAGTTACCTCTTGCCTCAGTTTACCCATCTGTCCAATGGAAGAATGGTAAAGGCCAGCATTTCTGCAGGCCAGGGACACTTCTGAACACTTTCCTGTCCTAACGCTCCTAGTGACCACAGCAGCCCCCTGAAGAGGATGCTCTTAGCTACAGTTTCCAGGTGAGGAAACCGAGGCGTCCGCCACGTCCACACACCCAGAGAACAAAGCCAAGATCCCCCGGGGCTTTGCTCTCTTTCTAGGTCCCCAGGCCCAAAAGAAATAGGGGCGTGGCAGGGGCCAGAGTGGGATTCAAGACAGGGACACACCGTCTGGCCCTAGCACAGTGCCTGGCCTGGATGAGGAATTCCCTACCCACCAGAGGGACAGAAGAGCACAGCAGGTAAGAACTCAGACTCCAACCCCAACGACCCTCACGGGGTAAGCCTCCTTGCCCCAATATCCTCCTCTCAAAAATGGGCACAGATGCCACGTACGGAGCCCAGCACCAGGCAGGGGCTGCCACAGAAACTTGGGGACTTTCCCACCCAGGCTGAGCACCGGGGAACCCTAGAGAATTAGGGGCATAGAGTCTGGGAAGGTGTCTGGGCCCAGACCATGCCAGGACAGGCCAGCAGAGAAGAGACCCCGTCCCAAGCACCTCCCTCGCCCTTGGCCCCTGGCTCTGGCAGCCCAGGCCTGGCTCCAGAATGGGCAGGGCTCCCCAAGGGTCCCCGAGAGCTCCAGTGGGGCATGAGCTGGAGTAGCACCAAGCTCTCAGCTGACCTCAGGGGGAGCAGGGCCCGGAGGCTGAGGCCAGCGCCCGCCCTTGCTGTTGAGAGGCCCCTTTGTGCCAGCCCTGCCCCACCCCCCACTTGCCATCTGCCAGGTCCCTGGAGTCTGCTCCCCCTCGGCCGCTGGTTTGCTCACATGATGCCCCCATCTGCTGTGAGTCAGAAGGCGGGGTCCACAGGGTCACCCCAAGGATGGGGATGGGGGATGGGACCCTGCCTAGGGCTCTGGTTGGGGAACAGGAGGCAGCATGGGGCTTGGACCGTGGGGCCACATTATCCCATCCTCCGGCCCCCTCCCCACCCACTGCTTTCTCTCTGCCTCCCAAGACCCTGCCCCGCACCCCTGCTACCTGGAAGCCATCCCATAGCCCCGACACGGGCAGAGCACCCAGCATCCAGTACCCACGCTCGGCTTTCACCCAGGATGCAGTGACACCCACCGTGGCTCTTTCCCCTGCCCGTTCCCCGCTCCTGTCATGCCGGGTCCTGCTAAGAGGGCCATCCCTTGATACGTGGACCCTGCCACAGCTCGGCCACCTCTTTTACCTGCCCTGCACCAGTGCTGGACGGGCACCTCCACCCCTTTCCCTCAGCTAGGAAGCTGTCCCCAGCATGAGCCTCACACTGACAGCCAGGCCAAGGCCACTGCGCAAGCCTGTCACCCCATCCCACTGGATGGCAGCCTCAGACCCCTCTGGCCCGGCTGCCGGGCACCCTGCCCAGCCCTCCCGCCTCCTCCCCCTGCAGAGCAGATCAGGACCTGCCACCCAGGCAGCGAGTCCCTTCAAGTGGCCCATGCCCGATCTCCAGTGCCGTCTCCCTCCCCACACCCTCGGGCTCTCTTCATTCCCCAAACCTTGCCCCACGCCAGTCCCTCTGCCAGGAACGCCCCCACCCAGCCACAGCCACCGCAGCCCTGTCCCCTCCCGGCACCCGAGCCCAGCCGGCCTTCCCAGAGCCCCGTGCTCCCGGCAGAGGCCTCCTCTCGCACCATGCTCGCCTCCCTCCTCCTCTCACCCCCTCGCTGTCTGTCTGTGACCCTGCTGGGGGGTGTCGTGCCAGCCTGGCTGCCCACCGCCCAGAGCACAGGTTCCCCACACAGACCAACCTGGAGCCCGACTTCTGTCCCTCCTCTAAGGCACACCCTGGGCCCACGGGCAGGACACCTCAGGTCACCCCACACACCCACTTAGCAGCTAGGGCCACCAAGCCCAGGGGACCAGCAGGCAAGGTGTCCCTGGTGGTGAAGCTACATCCCAGGCCCCTGGGGTCCCTGCTGCACAGGAGGTCAGCTCAGGCAGGGAAGGGAGAGCCACCCACAGGACTGCTGGCCTGGGCTCGGGAGACCCTGCAGCATGCGGCTCCCACTGACCAGTCGAGGACCCCAAGAACCAACCCTCTGCCCTCGGGGACCTGTGGAGGAGCAGAGCTGGCCCCGGGCTGGGCTGCCCAGGAGTTCCAAGAGACCTTCTTTGCCTCATCTACCTCCATGTCCCCAGGATAGTCCAGCGCACACAGAAGGCACTCAATAAGTGTTCATGTAAACAACTTCCATGGTTTCTGAAGGGGGTGCTAAGGCTATTCCCACCCACCCCACCTACCTCAGGCCACAGCGGCTCCAGGTGGGGCAGGGGGTGACAGGGACCTGCTACATTCAGTCGCACCCCTTCAGTCAAGAAAGGGCCCTGGGGGACCCCAACCCAGCACCACACAAGGGCGGCTGGTTGGAGAGAGGACAGGAGCCTTCAGTGTCCTGCCCCTGGGGCACAAGGAGGAAGTGGTCCCCAGCAGCTGGGCGCCGGGCTGGGTGGTTGGTGGTAAGGAACTCTCCAGCCTCCATGGCTTTCCCACCCGGCTGCCTGGTTCCCAGGACTCACACCCAAGCCCACTGCTGGGGCCATGCCTGCCCACCTGAGTGACAAAAAGCTGGCTTACTGGGGGCCCAGACCCCAGGACAGCTAGAGGGGATAGTACCCCGAGGATCTCCATGACTGGCCCCTAAAGCACCCTCTCCTCCCGGCACCTGGCTCCTGGCTCCCCATCCCTGCACTTGCTGTGTGACCTTGAGCCAGCCACCTGCCCTCTCAGAGCCTTGGTTCTCCCATCTGTGCAATGGGAGCAGTGCCCTCCAGGCACAGAGGGCAGATGGCCTGCTGGACCCTGGAGAGCCCACTTGCTATTCCCCCACTGTCAGAGGGCCAGTGGCTCTGAGTGTCCCACTCCTCCTGGGTGCCCTCCCCCCCTCAGGCAGCGCCTTTTCATGCCCACCCCACCCCCACACTGGGGGTCCGCGCACAGCCAGGCTCCTCTGGGCTAGACCAAGACCCCCCAGTCCTGTCCCCGCCCCTGCCCCACCCCTCACCAGCCCCAGCACATCACCCTCCCCTGCCTCCCACCTGCCGGAGCCCTTGGTTGGTACCTGGTGCCAGGTGGAGGGTCCTTTAGAGGACCCCCTTTCAGGATCTACCCCAGAGGTTCCACCTGGCGCCCGGGTCCTGCCGCCTGCCAAGCCGCAGGCTGGGGAGTGAGCATGGGAGGCGCCGGCCCCTCTCCGGTGGCAGCAGCCGGTGGAGCCAGGGGAGGGGCCGGGGACACCCCCTCCAGCCTCCCGGGCTCCTCCTCCCAAGATGACTGTGTGAGTCACGGGTGTCTCAGAGGAGGCAGGAGGAGAGGCTGAGGGAGGGCGGCAGGGGCCCTGGGGGATGCCCATGACTCAGCACCTGGCAGGGGGCCTCCGCCTCCCCCCAGCACCGAGGGGTGGATGCCAGGCTTCAGGGGGATCGCAGGCCAGGGTACCTCTGCCTCCCCACCCTGCACCTATCATCATCCCATTCTCCCCAACTTCCCGCAGGGAGAGGGTTGCCGCGGCAACAGGCCACTCGGATGCTGCCCCCACCCCCGGGGCCCTGGTGACCACTGCCCCTTCCTGAAGACGAGTCCAGCCTCCTTGGCAGCAGGCGGGGGCCGGCGCTGACCGGCAGAGCGGAAGGCAGGCCAGGAGGAAGGCAGGACTCAGGCACCTGGCACAGGGCCACACACCGCTGGCCGCTGACCTCACGGCCTCTCCGGGCCTCCGTCTGTCTTCTCAGCAGAGGAGCACACGTCAGGCTCCCAGGGACCCACAGCTCCAGGGATCCAAGATCCTGAGCCCCAGGGCCTTTAGGAATGGCCTCTTCAGTCTGTCTGCCCAGCAGAGGGGAGATGGAGGCGCCGGAAAGAGTCGGTCCCAGTGCCTCCAAATGGTCGGAAAGAGGAATCTAGAAGTGACCAGCGCCCCTGCCCCTCTGGCCACCGCCTCTGTTGGCCACTCCCTCCTGCTCTGGGGTCCTGAGCCCCTCTAGAACCTTGGGGGTAGCTTCAGATGATCATGAGCCCTACAGAGTGGGGACCCCGTCCGCCTCCATCAGTACAGTGTGGATGAAGGATTCCAAGTGACCAGTGCGTGAGGGTTTCGCCTACAGGGCAAGGGCAGCCACACAGGGCCAATAAAAAGAAGAAAAATAAATACTCCCTTTCTGGAGCCCTATTTCCTTCTAGAACCTTCCTCCTCCTGTCTTCAGGGTACCCACCTGACGCTCAATGAGCTGTCAACAAATATTCCCCAGGACGGTGATGAAGCAGAAGGGACTCGAAGCTCACCGAGGAGAGCTAACTGTCCAAGGGCACGCAGCTGGGGAGTGGCCGGGTTGGGTGGGAGCCAGCAGCCCGGCTCCCCAGCCAGTCCTTCTAGCCACTCATAAGCCAGCCTCCCTGGGCCTCCGGCATGGGGCCTCAACCCCCCGGGGAAACTTGAGGTCCCTTCTCTCTGGTAGGGGTCTCTCTGCATCCTAGAGAGGGGTCCTGGGAAATCCCCCTTCACCCACATGTGACACCAGTGAAAGCCTTTCAGGCAGCTGGGGACGGCTGAAGGCCACTCCCCTACCTGCCCGCTCCAAACCAAGCTACCTGGTGGGGTGCAGGGAGCCACAGGCCAGACCTTCCAGAAGACCATTCTATGCTCCTCAAAGTCAGCACCCCGCTGGCCAGGCTGTGGGAGATGCCTGCCCGATGCTGTAGTGGGCACTTGGCCCTGGTCAGGCCTGCTATTCCCACCCAGGGCCTTCATGGGCATGGCCTTATTACCAGGGCAGGAGGGGCCAGTCCACAGTGGGGTGGGGGCACAGCAAACAAGAGGACAGGAATGAGTTACTCAGAGAAGGACAAAAGTCCCTGACATGCCAGGTCTCTGGGCAAGTCACCACCTCTGAGCCTCAACTTCCCGGCGGTTGGTTGTTCAGGGCCCAGGCAGCAGGTGGTGGAGGCTCTAGGCCAGCAACACAGCTGCGTCCCACCTGCCCACAGAGAGCACTGGCCAGCAGGCTCAGAGGGAGAGCTGAAGGCTCCCCTCTCGGTGCCCATGGGCCCCAGAGCCTGGGACAGCTGCCATGGCCACATAGGAGAGACCCAGGTCTCTGCCTGCCCCTCCTGTCATCCGGCTTCTCAGACCTACTTCGTGCTGGGCACTGTGCCAGGCTCCAGGCTCTGGCCCCAGCTTGGAGCTTGGCCAGGGACATGAGCCTAGCTCTCATCTATGGTACCTAGGAGCCAGTTATTAGCTCCACAAGATCCCTAGAAGGTTCTGAAAGTCAAAGTGGAGAATCCAAATAAATGATTAAATGATTCTATTATTGGTTCTGGTAACAGGATGAGTAGGAACCTCCCATGCCGTAAGTATTTGGGTCACTCTTACAGCATCACTGCGACCCTATGACGGGGCATCACTAGTATGTGGAATGAGATGGCCAGAGACAGCAGTAACTCAGCCAAGGCCACACAGTGGGCACATATCTGGGCCTCTAGCTGTGTGGCTTCACCCAACCACCTAGCAGGTGTAGGCCCTGGCTACGCAATTTACATTCACCATCTCCTTTGCCTTTCATGACAGTTGCTAGCCCACTTTATAGAAAGCAGCCCGAGGCACAGACAGGGCAGGTGGCTTGCCCACGCCTTCAGTGACTGAGATCCTGGATCTGAAACAGGGGACTGACCCCGGAGCCCCTGCGGGCTCTTAAAGGAGGCGAAGAGGACTTTGAAAACCAGAGCAGCAGGAAGGGCATCCCAGGTAGAGTGATCAGATCAACAGGAGTCAGGAGGTGGAAGAGGAGCCGCGGGGGAAGAAGGGGGATCTGTTGTGGCAGGAGGGGGCAGATTCTGGAAGACTTGGAAAGCATGGAGTTTGGGCACTGGGGAGCCATAGAAGGTGTTTGATCAGCACTCAAAGTGTGGTGCACAGACCCAGAGCAGAGCCGGAGAGCTTGTTAGGGTCTCAGGGTGCCCCAGGTCTGCTGAGTCAGAACCTGTAGTTTAACAAGACGCCCAGGTGGGTCCCGGTACCTGGTGAAGCATGAGAAGCCCTAGCCTCGACCCTAGGAGCCAGTACCAGCCTTGGTTGGGGGCGGAGCCCAGGCCCAGCTGGGGCCTTGAAGAAGAGGGAGCCAGAGGGAAGGGTGGGAGGGGGACTCGGGTCCAGGAGACCAGAAGCAGCCCACCCAGGCCAGTGGGCCTGAGGGAGAGGGGAGAAGATGTCAGACGCTTCCCTGAAGCTTAGGGGTGCGGGAAGGGAGCAGGGATGGGAGGAGCTGCCCGTGGGCACCTGGAATGAGCGTGACCTGCAGCAGGTGGGGTGTCATGTGTACCCCCTGCTGGAAACACCTTGCTGGGGCTCAGCAGTGACAAACTAGGGGTTCCACAGGCCCAGGGAAGGGCATGGGCATTGCTGGCTGGGGACAGAGGTCAGAGGTAGGACAGGAGGCCCAGAAAGCCGAAGGGGTCCCTTCCTCTTAGAGACGGAGGAGGGGGAAGTGAGGCTTCCGCTCCGCTCTGCCAGCTGGGGGACTGGGCAAGCGTCTCTGTCCCCACCCAGCCCTCATTTGTCAAGAGAGGACAAAAGCTGCGCCACCTCATGACCCCCCACACGAGTCCACACGGGTAAAGGGCACGCCTCGGCCTGCGCAGAATGGGCACCTTGATGAGGCCCGCCAGGGAGCCACTGTTCAGAGCAGCCTGCAAAGGTGACAGAGACGGGCTCCCAGGAGGGGCGGGGAGGTGGACCTCAGGACAGAATAAGAGGTAGGGTGACCCTGGCCACCGACTGTGACTAAGGCCGGAGCAGAGGCTGGGGGAGGAGGAGGACGTGGCGGGGTTGTAAGAGGTCTCCTGCCACGGTGAATTTGGGCAGGAGCCACCTTGCCCACCCCTGTAGAGGGTCCTGGGCACCACCACTTGCTCCGGAGTGGGCTTCATCAGACAAGAGGAGCTCAAGTCCAGGCTTCTCCTCTCACAAGGTGAATGACCTTGGGGATCCTTGAGCTCCCTGTCTGGCACCCAGCAGGTTTCGAGACATGTTGGCCCATGTCATTAGCATCATAGACAGCACAAGTGTCACAGACCTGCACTCCACCATTGGCAGAGCATCTGGTACCTCCGCCACAAAACAGTGATGATCAGAGCTACGGAACAGCGACGGACTCAGAGAGGACCTCCCTGCACCACGCAGAGATCAGCCTGGGACCCAGACTGGCTCTAGCCACCTCCCTGCTTGTCTGTTCCCATGGGAAAGCCTCCAGGCCAGGAGCGTGGGGGCCGCCGCAGCCCTGTGATAACGCCATCTCCGTCATACCCGCCCCAGGGACCAGCAGCGATGGCAATGCCCATGTGACTCAGCCACCCTCACAAAGCACCCTGTGTGCCCTGGGCCTACCTACCCCACCCATGGCCCATCCCCCACTCCCCAGCAGAGGGTGGTGGAGCAGGGCGCCTGAGACATCCAGCTGTGGAGAGCCAGAGCCACCCTGTGCCCAGGTTAGTGGGGATTCAAGCCCAGGCTTACGGTGCAAGGAATCCAAGCCAGCCCAAGTGACGGAATGAAAGGCATGGCAACCAGGGGGACTTTGCCCGGGTCCAGACTGTCTTCTGAAGAGACCTTATTTGGAGCTCCAGGGCCACTCCAGCACACTGGCTAATCAGAGTGCAGCTGGCCAGCTGCCCCGCCCACATTTACCTGCATTGGGTTTCAAAACACAGGGACTCAGGCAAGAGGCACTTCCCCAAAGCCAGAGGGCCCTTGTCCACACCTGGTCACAGCACAGTCCTGTCTCCACCCCTGCTCCTAAAAGTTCCAGGGAGCCCAGGGACCCCCATTGCACTCCTGTCCTGGGCCAGGAAAGGGACTTGCACTTTCTCCCACTGACCTGCTGAGGAGGCCCGGCCCCATCTGCCAGGGAAACTCAGGCTCAGAGAGGGAGAGAGGCCAGCCCAAGGTCTTGGAGGACTGGAGCCGATCTGACCTCAAGGCCTGCTTCCCTCGCCCCTAGTACCTCTTCCTGGTCCCAGGGGCGCCTTGACCACATGCCAATAAGAATTAACCTTGAGCCTGGTGCACACAGAAGCAGAGAGACACACTTTCTCCCCCACAGTCAAGCCCTGCTGGGAGGGGCCATTCCAGAACACAGTTGCTTAGACTGAGTTCAGCCTGGCTGGGCCTCCGAGGGCTGCCCCCACCCCCACTGACCCCAGGAGGTGGGCACGCCTGGGTGCTTGGGTGCCCAGCTGCCCCAGACAGAAGGTAGGCAGGGCCATGGCCTGCTCCTCCTAGGCATGATGGAATGTCTGACCCTCAGCCCCCTAACAGCACTTGGCAGGAGGTTGGATCCAGCTAGAACAGGCCTGGAAGGTCATTCTGGTCATGCCCCTGCCTCTCAGCCTCCAAAAATCCCTAAGCCCAGGGCCAAAGC